AATGCGGCGGGGTTAAACATGTTTTTTGAGATCTCAACCCTCCCCCTATACCTCTAGCCAATGTAGAAAAAACAAACGCACAACAGTACGTACAGTAAAACTCAGTATTAGAGAAGTCCGAGTCCGATGTCAGAATAGGAAACAAAAGAAAATAAACAAAATGACAATAATACATAAATAACAACAGACTACTAGCAGTTACTGACATGCCAGCTCCAGACCTCAATTAAACTGATTAAAAGATTATGTCTTCATCATATGAATATCAGGCACAATCCCTCTTGTTAGGGGTTTAGTATTATACCGCCATAAAATATATGAGAAGAACATAACCCGTGTCATGCCAACAACTGGTTTTAGAATAAATGTGTTTAATTCCGATGCAAAGACCCTATAAGTGAATTAATATTAAAGCCAAAATATGCAATCTTTAATGACCTGACAACAGTATCGTAACTATATCCCTTCTTAATAAGTCTGTTTAAAGGTATTGTTAGCTTTTGAGGTGAATAATGACATTTTTGTGCTTTGTAAAGAATATTACCGTGGATAATTAACGATAGGAAATGAAAAATCATCTCTTTTATCATAAATTTTTGTATTAAGCTTCCCGTTAATGATATAGATATCAAGATCGAGGAAAGGACAGTGGTCATTGTTAGTATTAGCTTTATTTAAAGTACTAAGTTCAACAGGATAAATTTCTTTAGTATACATACTGAAGTCGTCATTATTGAGAGCCAATATATCACATATCATGTATGATATATAGCAACAAAAGACAACAACCGATTTACAGGCTCCTGAATTCGGTACTGGCATATACAGAATGGCGGGGTTTAACGTGTAAACCCCCCCCCCCCCGTCCCTTCTAAAAAAAACAAGAAAAAAACTGGTATAACAGCACAACATATGAACAAACTAAAATTCAGTGAGTTGAAAAAGGCTTAACTCATTTGATTACAGAGCCCCTATAGTAAATATGCGATTGGCGGCTGTCTCTGTTTTTTCGTCTTTTATTAAATTTTATGATGGTATACGATATAGTTACATTATATCAGTGGGGATCCAGGGGGCAGAGGGAGTACGCCGACCCCCCCCCCTTTTTGGTGGCTAGAAATAATTATTTCATCATGTTTTTTACGATTTATATATGATTTTTTATTAAGAATAAAATCGTTAAAAAAAGTTCACCTTGGCGGTATAAAATCCGTTTATGAATACCATGAAAATCATGGCCTAGGCCGCCCTTCCATATTGACAATTTTAAACTTGACCAAATTGCTTAAATTGTAGAACATTTGTCAATGTACGATAATCATTATACAATGAAGAGATAAACCTATATATAATAGTTGTACTATATAGGGCAGTTGTTAACAACTTGATACTAGTGCATTAAAGAATTTGTTAATGTTAAAAAAAAAAACGAAAAAAAAGAGAGATAAAACATCGTTTATTTATAAAATTACCAATCAAACTAGTATCTCAATTGTTTGAAAAACAATTGAAAGGTCTTTCCTGTAAAAGTGATGTTTTTGTAATGTACTCTTTAAGACCTTTCATTTGATATACGACAAGCATACCTTCTAAAAAATTTCACTTTTTACACTTAATGACCCCATCCGCCTACATTTTTGATATCGGAAGTATGATATATGTAATCTAGACTTGATTATCTTTCATTTGATATGCGACAACGCCATGTTCTAGAAAGTTTGATTTCTGCACTTAATAACCTCATCCAACTTATTTTTTGAGGACAGGAATCTGATATTTGAAATGTACACGTTACGACCTTTCATTTAAAATACAACAACCTTACCTTAAAAGAAAATTATATTTTTTGCACTCAATGACCCCACCCAACCCATGTTTTGGGGACGTCAATTTGATATTTGAAATGTACGCTTTATGGACTTTCATTTGATATGCAACAACCTAACCATCTGAGAAGTTTTAATTTTTTGCACTAAATGACCCCACCCTTCCCCCTGGGATGAAAAGGGGGGTTTACATTTTCATTTTTGAGTAGAGCTCGTTAAGACCTTCAATTTGATATATCAAATGACCCCATTTGGCAAAGTGCCAAAAATGATGCAATATTAATTATATAAATAGAACTTATGAAACTTACAAAGTCAATGCAAAACATGAAAATTTCAAATTGATTTTTTGGTTTTTTTTTTCATTGAATGTTTTTGGTATTTAGTCAAACATATAACCATGTTAAACTCTTCAATTTCTGATAATTTCAGGTGGTTACCTGTTGTTGATTCAGAAATACATGCCTCCGCTCGCAAAATTTCAAAGTGCATTATCTCTTAAACGACAACAGGTATCTCAAATTTGTTAAAAGAAAAATGATCTACAGTAAAAGGACAACATTTTAGAAAAAAAATTGGACAATTCCAAAGTTCATCAAGGTCACAATGAATTATCAAATATATGATGCAATATCAAACTTCTGAACCGGAAGTCGTAGAGACATGGGACTACCACCATTCAACTCAGGACCACTTGACCTTTCAAATGTCACAAGGTCATGGTCATAGTACACTCTGAAGGTCAAGGTTAAATTTCATCATGACCTGACATTGACCTCAAATTGAAGGCCTTGAATTACTGATCATCTTTGCAGTTTATAGTAGGTTGATATCTGTTACCTTTTAAAAGATATACATATGTTACTATAGTTTTAAGAATTATGTTAATGTAACTTTTGAACAGACGGTCGGACATTTTTGAGCTTAAGGTATAAAATGTAGACCTCGTCGAGAGGAACATTTTATACACAGTATGTATGCAGCAAACTCTTATCGTTTTCCTAATATGCAAGCTTGAAATTGCAGCGTAAATTGTTTTTGCACTCTGTGACCTTTGACCTTGGGTGCAAATTGAAGGTCACATGAACTTAAGATTATTGGTGTAGGTCCCAAGTCTCTACGACTTCCGGTTCTCGAAATACAATTTTTCAAAAATTGTGTATATTTTTTTAAGAGAAATAACTCCTTATAAGGGTCAATAACAAAATCATTTTATATGTTCATTAACATTGCTATCTGTTTTTGTATATGTTGCCGTTTTCAAATCGATTCTATCCCTAATACTTTTTGAGAAAAATGCAAAGGAAAGAAATCGCTTCAAGGGGATATAACTCGCATAGGGGATGATGAAATCCTATGCAGCCTCATATGGTAGTACATCATGATGAGATCAACCTATTGTCAAAATAAGGTCATGATATCTTTAAAAACAACGAAGGGGGGCCATGTTGAAAAAATCCAATAAAAGGGGGATAACTTCTACAGGGGATGATGAAATCCTTAACAGGGTCATGTGGTAATACTTCAAGATGATGTCTATCGATGGTCCATATTTCGTCTTGATATCTTTAACAGAAACGGGGGGAGGGCATTCTCAAAAAAATGTTGGAAGAAAAAAAAGAAAAAAAAAAAAAAAAAAACATTAGAAAAACAATAAGGTCTTTCCTAACGGAGTGGAAAGACCTTAATAATCATCATTGCAATTTCCGGATGGCCGAAGACTTTTATACTAATTTATACTTAGTATTATTGTAACAAGGAGGGGTAAACAGATTTTTAACGCACTATTATTGTGATCCTTTACGCCGCATGGAAATTCCTTTTCTTGGGCGATTCTGCATGCACATAAATTTTTCTTATTCTCTTGCTTTATACTGAACGTTTAGTTTCAGAATATTTATTTTCAAACGATTATACTGTCTTCCCTTTAAGTAGAGCGGAACACTAAGATAACCATCTTGTTGTCCCAGAAAATCACATATCAAATGTGTGTCCTTAAATTTTCAAGGCCGTACACTAATTAAGTTTGAACACTTGAATTTACATAGTTGATATAAAAAAAATCTAATTCCGTTTCAAAACCTTCATTTCTTTTTAATTTTTCCTTTTTTTTTTTATACAAAACAAAATTGAAATTTGCTTTGTTCTAATATAGCAGAAATTCAAGTGTTTACGGATTCAAAAAGGTTATAAGTTATCCTCTGAAAGAAAATGTTTTTCAACGATCCCTCAAACTGCTGTTGCACGCCATATTTTGATTTTCGTCATGCGATTATGCATTATATTCTATGACAAAACCGGGTCTGCTTTGTGAAATTTAAGTACAAAACCGGGTCGTACACATTGACAAAACCGGGTGCTTCAATTTTGACATGACCCACTTCTTTCATTCCATGCACAGACATGCAAATATTGAGGTGTTCATAGTGACACGTCTTGAAATCTCCGTGTTAATATCTTTCTTTCCGTACCTTTCTTTCCGTACAATGTGCTCAATTTAAAGAGAAATTAACAAATTCGAGGCAGGGTTCACTCAATTCACCATTTTGATGTGCCTTTTTACTTATTTTTCCATAAATCTAGAACGGTGGTAGAAAATATTACATCACACTATCGAAAATAGTTATATGTGTATGTATATTCTTCAATATCATTAAAACAACATATAAATAAACAGAATTTCTACCTTTCTCTGTCTGTTGATTGTCCGTCACCGTACCGGACATTAGATACTATTGAGTCCAAACATTTTTCGCCGGGGTAGTTTAGACACAGTGCCTCTTATGAATGAAAAACACGCAGGTGGAAGCGGCCATACTTTTCTATCACAAAGAAATAAACAAACAAATCAAAGAAATATTCAACGAACAACATATCTGTTTGAAAAGAAAAAAATAATCGATAAAAATGTACAAATGCAGATGATTAAGACATTGCCGCTCCCTTTCCACTGTTTATACAATCCACAAAAAAAAAAAAACAATTGGCCAATATAAATAATTGTATTAGCCTTTTATAATTGTGTTTTTATAATCCACTTGAATTGATATACAAGGCTATTCTGAATGAATTAAACTACAAAGCGAAAAACATTTTTCTCTTTTATCAGCTATGAGACGGCTAGCTTTTTAGAAAAGCTATTGTTATCAAGCTTATTTGACCCGAAGACTTAACTGATAATATTAGACACGTGATAAGGAAGAGAGGAGTATAACATTTGAAACGTAAGTAATCTTTATTAGATGATATTTATGCCATTTCGACAGCTCTGTTCTTTTCATTGCAAACCAGGAACATTTTGTTTCTAGGCTTTATAAAAAAAACCACTATATATATTATTGTTTCTGTAACAGTAAAGAAAAAAGTAAATTTCCGGAAATAGGTCAGGGAATTTTTGAAAATTACGGAAGCCTTCTCCTTTAGGGCCATGCCAATGTTATCTAGTCTATAAGTAGCATGCAATGATTGTATTTATATTTTTAATTTGATAACCGAAAGCTCTAAATCAGAAATTAAGACGTCTTCAATATTGCCGATTTCAGTCTACGTGGGTCTACATGAAGGATCTTATTTTGTACTTGATATTTGATCAATTTTCAAATCAATCACCCATTACGTCGCAATTTCCAAGCAAGGACCGAAGCTCATAAACTCGGCAATCAATCCTTGCCGTCACGATTGTCATCAGTTTCTATTGTAATCGACAAGCTTTCAAAGGGACACTACTCTTTGTGGTCGGAACGCAGGTTGAAGAAAGGTCCGCTGATGTAGGCCCTCAGGTAATCAGTGCCCTCAGGTATCTTGCAAATAGTGCCCCATATGCGTAGTAATAATATGATCTAAAAATAGAATAAACAAAAAATACATTATTCTACTTTCTATTTAGACTGTGACAGTACACAAGACTGGTTTAATAAAGGTTACCTCAGGTAATCTGTTGTGTATGGAAACTGGTTTAATAAAGTTCCACGAAACTTATGTATGAAGAATGGTTTAATAAAGGTGACTTTGATATTTAACATATTTTATTCATTAAGATATGAAAAGGATTGAGCAACAGGCACAGCATATAAAAGCTCTCTCCATATTACATGTACAAGGTAAAATTAAATTATCAACAACTGTATTCAAAATATTGTAATATAGTGGAACATGCATGCTACTTACACTACAAAAGTCAAAAAGTCTGAAAAGACCAGTTTTTGTCTGAATTTGCATGAATTTTTACTCGACATTCTTAATTTGTCTTAATAATTTTTAAAAATTCTTGACATAGTATGAATTTGTCTAATAAGGTTCTTGATTTTTCTTGACAAGTGTCTTGACAGTATGAACATTGTCTTAAAATTTCTCGACACTTCCTGTATCATCTGATAAGAGTCTGGATTAGTCTCGACCAATTCTTGACTGTCTTAAATTTGTCTCGATCTGTCTTGACATATTCTTGACATTCTTAATAATGTCTGAATATGTCTCGACATATTCTTGACATTCTAAATAATGTCTGAATATGTCTCGACACATTCTTGACAGTCTTAAATATGTCTTGACACTATCTCAACAGTATAAATTTCGCCTGAAATGTGAACAGACTTATTCTGCACTGTTTATGACATTCTATTGCTGTTATATACTCCTTTTTATTATGGCTAAACTAAACTTTGAAGAATCAAGGATTAATTTGGTATAGTAAGATACCTTTTTGGTGCAACTAAGTTGGAATACCCTGAATAATCCCCCATGACGATGATGTAGTTTAATTTTGATTTATTTTTATTAAACATTTAAGTAATTGTTTTCACTTGGAATATAAGTCGAAGGTATTGACAAACAGCATTAAGATTTTTGCCGTTCGCAAAACTGCCAGTCAAATTTGCTTTACTAAAATAGGTGTCTTGTATCTCTTTTGGACCCCACAATTCATCTTTTGGGTTTGTGTGGCTAAAAATAGAGGGGGGGGGGGGGGGGGGGGGGGGGGCGGGAGGGCTTTCGTTTAGATCAAAGAATTTGTTCCCATCTTGATTCAAAAACCTTATTCATTTTTTAGAACAACCCAAAAACATTTTTATTCAAATTTGAGTGTTGAATTTAATATTTTTTTTACCAAAAATAAATATTTGTGATAACTCCTTCCTGAAAAGAAAAAAATGTTTAGATCTATATTATGCATGTCTGTTTGAGAACCATTTCATAAGACCGATGATTTCTATAGAAATCATTGATGGGACCCATTATAAATACATTTTTTTTATTATTCCTGGAGTAGATAATAATTTTCTTTTAATCTTTGGGAATTATTCAATTTGTTTTTATGTTAAAATAATTAACTTCATAATTTTGATGAAGAAAATCCATTTCAATTCAATTGTTTTTATCAAAATGATGCTTTTCATTTTCATCTATCAACAAACTTTTTAAGTTGTAGTGGCATGGTCGGTCAATTGATAAGTTGTATGGCTGATTACAGGTAAAGCAATAACTTCTATTTGACAGTTGCGTGTACTCTGGGGTGTGGAATACCTTAATTTTATGGGGAACATCCTGTCCATGTGTAATACTTAATATATTCCAACAGATGACATTACACAATTTTTTCTTCTGTTAAATGAATGATTTGTATATCATCATAATTTGCTATTTATATAAACCACATTTTGGTATAATAATTATTTACCATATCAACATTGAATATTATGAATGTAGAATGAAATATGTCTACAGTATGATTGGTTTGAATCATTTAATTTATAAGATTTAGGAATCAAAATTTGTAATTATTTAAAAACCCACATTGAAATTGTTTTATGTCAACACACCCACATTTGAATTATTTTATACTTTAGATTTCATAGCCATATTTGCATTTGTAAAAATATTTATATACCCAAATTTTCAATTATTTTACATGCCCAACTTTTATTTTTGTTGTAGAGAAGTGTAACTTGAAACAACAGTATTTTATATAAAGAGAAATAAAGATTAAAGTTATATCATGAATATTGGTCATGATTTGTAAAACTCGGAACTGTCAAGTAAATTTAAGACACGATTCAAAATGTTCAGAATATGTCAAGCCATACTGAGAAAAAATAAGAATGTCGAGAATATGTCGAGAAATTTCAAGACAGTATTCAAATGTCAAGAATTTGTCAAGAAATTTTAAGACCATATTCAGAATGTCGAGAATATGTCGAGTAAATTTCATACAAATTTAATATAAATGAGAATTTGTCAAGAAAAATTAAGACACAAGTCATACTTTTGGAGAATGTCGAGTAAAAGTTCATGCAAATTAAGACAAAACCTGGTCTTTTCAGACTTTTAGACTTTTGAAGTGTTATGAGCACACACGAGCAAATATATGTTTACAGTGTTACTTACTAAATGTAAAGTATATTTAAGTATATAGGCAATTACTCATCATTTATTCAAGTACCTTGAAACATGCAAATATCCTTTATAAGTCATTAGAAATATATATATATGTATATATATATATATATATATGGCTTGAAAGAGACACTAAGCTTGCTTAGTGGAATAAATGAATTAATGTTGAAGTGTAGGAGAAAAAAACTAAATAAAACAAAAATTAAGTAAATTTCGAACAAAACGTTGAGTGTCACTGATATTATTCTGAACAGATTTAAAAATACCAATATTCATATCATATGTAAATAATCTGTTTCCAAAAAGTAATAATTCAATATTTATGTCAACATTATCAGCAATGGAGTAAATGGAATCAAGTAGGATCTGTCTTACATCATTGTACTTAGGGCAAATAAATACGAAATGTTGGTTATCCTCAACAGGGTGATTACAGTTTGTACAAAAAGTATTCTCGGATGAGAACTGATTAAACAAATGAGATTGTAGGTTGCTAGCACTATTTTTGAATTGACAATGACTTATATTAAGTTTCCTTATCCCATAGTTGAAAGGTTTAAATATATCATCAGTCCTATAAAACTCGTCCAGTCCACTTCTAAAAATACCCAAATTTGGGGATTTTTGTAATCTCAAAGGAAGACTATTCCAAAGTCTTATAGGGGAAGGAATGAAACTATTAAAATAAGAGCTAGTTCTAGCAAGAGGCGGGTGAAAAGTGTTCTTTTCATTCCTCAAAGAATAAGGGGTTTGTCTGGGAAGATATGGCTGGACTAACTGATATAAGTATGCAGGTGTCATCCCATTTAATATTTTATAGAATAGTATAAGCTTATGTTTATTACGTCTATTCTCCAGAGTTTCTAAACCTAGTCCAATATAAAGTTTTTGTCTTGAGGAATTACATCGTAATCCTGTAATAATTCTAGCAGCTTCTATTTGAATATTTTGAAGAAGCTCAGACTCATTATGCAGGGAGAAATTGCCCAAAAAAACATCACCATACTCTGATATAGGTCTAATAAAAGCATAATAAATACCTATAAGTGAACTCCTATCTAATAAATGTTTAACTTGACGATAAACTCATCAAAGATACCAGGATTAATTTTGTATTTACGCCAGACGCGCGTTTCGTCAACAAAAGACTCATCAGTGACGCTCGAATCCAAAAAAGTTAAATAGGCCAAATACAGTACGAAGTTGAAGAGCATTGAGGACCATTATTTGAGGATTCATTAACGTTTTGCCAAATGCAGCTAAGGTAATCTATTCCTGACGAAGCACAGATAGACGAGAGCATGCTTTTTTATATATAATAAAAAATATGTGTGTTCCATGAACCTGATGACTGAAATGTTATACCAAGATGACATTGAATATTTATTTTCTCAACCTCTTTGCCATTTATCCCCAAAATAATACAGGTGGATGCTCCCTTTCCCTTCTAGTAAATACAATATTTCTAGTTTTCTTTGAGTTAAATTGAACAGCCCATGATTTTGCCCAATTTGACATAACATCCAAGTCATCAGTTAAAAAAGCAGCTGCTACACCATGATCATCATCTATTATACCAAAAAAGAGGTGTCATCTGCAAAAAGTCTAATATCATAAGCAATGTCATTTACTTTATCATTTATATAAAAAAATAAAGGTGACCTCAGGTAATCTGTTGTGTATGGAGATTTGTTTGATAAAGGTGACCTCAGATAATCTGTGTTTATGAAGACTGGTTAAATAAAGGTGTCCTCAGATAATCTGTAGTGTGTGGAGAGTGGTTTAATAAAGGTGACCTCATATAATCTGTGTGTATGAAGACTGGTTTAATAAA